AAAGACCATTCGGTTTAGCAATAAGCTCCCAGAAGCAGAGTCAAAGATGTCAAGTAGGCAGTGGAAGTTGGTCTTTCACCGGGGACGCATCCTTACCATGGAAGCTGTCAGAGTCCAATTCACCACAGTCAATCAGAGTTCATGGATGTGTATAGCCTCAGAAACGCTCCCTCTGTCTATCGATCTGTCAGTTAGGCAAAGAGTTGAACCATATGCTACCTCTAATTCGAGCGGCTCTATTTTTTTTACATAGCTTATAAATAATTTATTGAATCTAACAAAATTACTTTTAGCTCTACTCAGGAATAAACATATTCAGATATATTTAATATACATATAAGCGTTATCCCACTTTCTCTGTCTCGGCCACCCCTATTTTTTCAGCTGTTTGTAAGCTTTCCTTTCCTATCCCTTACTTATTTTAAAATTAAAATTTAAATTTAAAAGCCACATTTTTTACTCCTAAGCATTTTAAAACTTAATACAAAATCAAAAAAGAAAAAAAGCACAAATACGAAAAATAATGCAAATGAAATGAAAAAAAGAAGAAAAACAAACTGTGATTTACAACAAAATCTTTGTGTGACGTTAAAAAGTGAACATTTTTGTTTCCTTTGTACAAAAAATTCATTGTTTTGGATATTTAGTTTATTTAACTAATTTTATTAAATTATTTACTATGCGAAATTGTTGTTTAGGCCTCTCAACTTGTCTGTAACTGTGAACGCAAAGAGTGCAAACTTTTGTATTATTTTTTGTAAATTTTTTCTATTTACATATTTGTATTCAAAAATATATACTTGAATAAATCGCTTATAAATAAATGATTTTTTTCCAAATTTTAATTTTTATCATATTTTCTTTTTCTGAATAAGCGAAAGAGAAACATGTTCAATGAACATTTCAAGATATTTTTATCTTTTGTGTCTTCTGTTCACCTCTTTCGGTTGACCGCTCAATAAGCTAATACATAGATGTGGCAAAGTAAAACTCACATAAAATATATTATATTTGATCAGGAACTACAAATAGACTATACTAACTCAGGGGAACTCTAATATACTAGGAAAGACAAACTCTGTCCAAACTTACGAAATGGTAGCAGGAGCAGAGCATAGCAGATCCACACTCCCAACACTTCAAAATATCAAATCTAACGAATATTGTATGTAACCATATACTCGGTTAACATTCTTCGGACGAGTATGAGAAAGTCATAAATAATATTCCCCAAATTGATGTAATTAATAGCTTAAAACTTAATTGTATAATGTAATTACAACATTTATACCCCACTTGGGTCGACAGGTGTAACTACTTACCTAATGGATGCATGCATATACACACACACACACACACACACACAAGCAACAACTATCCAGCCCGCTCTTAAACAGAAACAGAAAGAGAAATCAAACTCCCAGACATTTGCCAGAGTAAAGAAGTCGCTGGGGAGACTGCGAGGCGAACCATTGTGTTTGCATTTTATTTGAAACATGCATATTACACACACACTTACTTAAATAATTGTTGAAAATGCAACGCATATCAAATTATGAATCAAGGAAATACTTGGAAGCAAAATGTAAAATGAGTTAATGTATCACACAGCAGATATGAGACAAACATTTAGATAATTGAAAATTATTAGTCAAAATTATAAATAAATAAAAAAAGCCAAATAAATTTGAAACTATGCTGTTCATTGATTTCAACTTAACTTTTCGGTATTTAAAAAAAATCTGTGATTACCTACAAAATTTAACGATTTAAAGATTTAAAAAAAAGAAAAAAAAAAAAAAAAAGCAAATTGTATAGCACAAAAGCCACAATTCAACTCTAAATCAAATCTAACAGAAACTTCTTTTGGTTTAAATATCTAGATACGAGAGAAAAACAAAATTAAATTTTAAACACTTATACAAACTTACATCTGAGTATGTTTGCTAAGTTAAATGTTTTTATTATACAGTTGCATTTCTCAAGTTATATAAGTGGCATCTAGCTGCCGGGCATTACTGACGGCACAATCTCGCTCCCAGCTGCAACAGCCCAGTTGAGCTGACTATGATCCAGCTGATAAAGCAATTGACTATAGATCTATAGTCATTAATCAATGAGCTGTAAAACTATGGCATGACTTCCACATAGCTTAGGATGAGACTACTTATATACTCCGAGTTCCAAGTCTGCAATCGGACTTCACTGCGTAAGCGAGTATCTACACGCATTTTTCAATAAGAAAACTGCGACATAAATATTTTAATTTTGTATATTTTGTGTTTTTTTTT